CCAAATCAGTCACCCACCCAAATCCCCATTCACCACGGTGGCAAGACCCCCCCAGATCCTTCCTTCACCCCTTCCATCGCAGCAAGACCCTGCACGCCTACAGGCAGGCGAGATCAAGCCCGAGCCGCCGTCGGTGCGTGCATCCGCGTGCCTCGTGATTAGCGTTACACAACCGAGCCCCGGCACGTTAGTGGAGGCCTCGGCAACGCGGGCGGTTTACCTGAGCACCGTGACGCTTCCCCTCTTCACGGGCAGGAAGAGAACGGGCTCCGAGACCCTGATGGGTTTGAACTGGAATTTACACCCGAAGCAGAGCGCCGAGTCGCTGAAGAAGGAGACGGAGACGATGGGCCTCTCGAAGATATGGATGGGGTCCACATGGGAGACAATGCAGCCCCCCGGCTGGTAGTCGTTGATGACGGCACTGTTCACAAAGCCCTCGGGAATCACCCGGTGCTCCACCAGCTTCCTGATCACCAGGTCGTGCACCCACTCGGGAATGGCGTCCACCTCCCCCCGCGGGTACAGGCGCTCCTGGCCGGGGCCTCGTCTCTGCAGCTGAGACCCGTAGGTATAGCCCTCCCCGAAAAAATACTTGTTCCGCAGCGGCGCCCGATCCACCGTGTGCTCCTTGTAGAGCCCCTTCTCCGCCCGGGACACCACGTCCTCGATCCGAGCTTCGATCTTGGCGCACTCCTCGGAGCTGAAGAGGCGAAGCTGGCGGATGCCGCTTTTGACTTTCCGAGCTTCTTCCTCCTCCTTCTGCTCCTCGTAGTCGCTGGGCTCCGAGCCGGAATCCTCCTGGTGCCGGCGTTTGCGATCGTAGTGGGGTTCGGGGGGTTCCCGTGGGAGGCTGCCGCCGCCGCCGCCTTTGTGGCCGTCCCGGTAGGGCATCATGGACTTGAGCTTCTCCCGCAGGTCCGTGTAACCGCTGCCGGCCATAGTGCGTCCCCGCAGCCCCCGCCTCTATCGATCCCGGTGCTGCAGGCGGCGGCGGGCGGCGGCGGCGGGGGACGCGCAGCTGCTATTCATGGCACCCGCCGCCCTGCTGGAAGAGCCCCGGAGGAACGGGGAGGT